GTCAGACAGGGGTGAGTGGAAGATAAATGGAGACGTTTAATGAGGTTTTTTTTCCTATACTCTCACCCAAACCATTCACCGAGTAAAGTGAGTGAAAGTGCTGCATTTTAATTAATGAAGCATGTATGTGAGAGTGAGAGATTGTGTGTGTGTGTGTGTGTGTGTGTGTGTGCATGTGGGTGATTTATGGGACTGTGTTTGTGCCCTTTAGGTCAGTCTAAGCCATGAGTCAGGCCTGGTCTGGGATGTCAGGCAAAGATCTAGTCTCCTCTGAACAACAACAGTGTGTGTGTGTGTGTGTGTGTGTGTGTGTGTGTCGAAGGAAGGAAATTATATGCACTAGCTTAAGTGCTACGCAGTCAGAAAACAGCATCCTGATGACGGTGACGGTGAAGCCTACACACTTACTCCATGCTGCAAAAGTTTAATGTGCGTTTGTATGTGTAAACATGTGTACGCTGTGTATTTACGAGCCCTGTGTCATCTTACATAATAAAACAAAATGAATTTTTTTTTACCCAAGTAGAGACCAATATCAGTCGTGTCATCTCTCTGCAGGCTCCATCGCTTTTGCTTTTACATGTTAAAAGGAAAATATACCCTAAATATGTAACTGTGTATGCACGTATAAAGCTGCAGAGACTACACACATTTGATCTTTTTGTTGGAAAATGAACCTAGCATTAAATCATTGGGAAAAAATGAAACTATTTTATAAAGGTTGTCCAGTAATATGATGATGTTGATAGTTATTGAATCTGTCAAAATGGCTCCAAAACATTTGTGGAAACAGTTCTTCATATCTTTTTTTATAAAAATCATCATTGAGGATTCCCTCTATGGGCTGTAACCGTCAGAGAAGACGAGTGCAGGGATTTTCTGTGGAGAATCACCAAACTTTATTATGACTCTTTGACCTGATCAAAATCTCCCACATCACATCTTCCGCTCTGTTCAGCAGCAGTTACTTTACTTTGGGACAAACTTTTTTTAAATGTTTTTTTAGTAATTCTTTATTTTTTGTAATTACAATGTCTATGAAATTACACAAATGCCAACTATTTTTAATTTTAAAGTTTTTATTGAGTGATAATACCTCCTTTCAAATTAGGGGGGGGGATGAAATAAAACACTAGCTTCATGTCTTATAGCTGGTGTCTAATACGCTTTTGATAAAAGCCATACAGACTGGTTCCAGTGTTCAGGAGGTCATGTGTGATCTCTGGTGGCGAGCGACTCTGTGTATTGACTGCTTTTTATTCCTGTGTTGCAGGTTACAGCGCGGTCGCATTCGATGGAGCCGGTAATTACGGCCACACTCCTACACACCACAGCTCGCAGTTCTCCAACCACTCCTTCAAACATGAAGACGCTTTAACTCAGCCGAGCACTATGGGTAAGAGCGCGTATGAGTATGCCAGTGCTATACGGCTTCAGTCACTAAATGCATTTGACAGTGAAGTTGAGGAAAGGGAATTTTTAAGTTAAGTTTTTAAGCACATACAGATAGAAATGTTGTGATGGTTTCATTTTCTTAATTAACCTAATAACAAAAAATGCAGATACCGCACGTGAGTAGAAAACACAGTATCTGCTAATAGTACTGTATTCTTTCAGCTTTGTACCTTTGTTCTGCTAGGTGTCAGCCTGTCCATCTATTAATATTTATACTGAAATCAATATAGTAAATGAATTTACAATTTAATACATTTAGATATGTAATTTAAAGGTAGTTTAACTGCACAGTCATCTGAATTCCTCTAGAGTTCAAATTTGAGATGGTAGTTCGGCTACTCTGCTACGCTAGTTAGCTTTTGGTAGAGTTTAGCTGTTTTTTGTTCTCTGCCATGATTGGATTAAGCCACAGCTTCAATTAAATAACTGAATTACGATAATGAGCACACATAAATAAATAAGTGGTAATGATGAGCTTTAGTTTAAGCTAATGCTAGCTTTTCTCACGAGCTAGCTTTCACTTAATTGCTAGCATCTCTTGCTTTACTGCCATTTAGCATTATGGCGATTCTACGGGTGTGTTTTTTGCTATAACTGCCAAATTTTAAAATCTGTTTTTAAAATTGAAAAAAACCCAAAACATTCTATGGCTTAAGAAATTGTTAAATGAGGTAAAGAACCACCAGAAACCAAGAAAGTTTAAATTTAGGCCCAAATACTCTAGTTGCTCCGTTTTTGCCTTTGCAGGGCAGTTCAAAGGTGCATGGTGTTCCTCTTCCCCACTACAAACAGGCATTACATTGTTTGCTGAATGAAAGTCTTACAAGGTGGTTTCTGGGCTGTAACCAAGCCTCAGGGTGTTTCTTTTAATCCTAAATTCTTTCTGCCACAGATCTGGAAAAAGAACATTTTTATCCAAGAATAAATTATAAAGTATAGCGGTATTAGATTTTCTAATATCGTAGGGTATCTCATATTTTTGTCTTTAAGTAGTGACTTCTTTAAAAAAAAAAAAAAACAATGCCCCAGAGTGGATAGTAGATCTCTGTGTGTATTTAAAACCCCTGTGTGAGTGCACAGCTGCGTCTGTATGGCAGCTCCATGGCCCTCACCTAGGGAGTGTCTTGTCCCTTATTCTGACGTCTCCGCAGTGACCTCGTCTGTCGGAGGTATAAATCAGCGACATCCTGACACACAAACTCCCTTGTCTCCTCCTCTCCTCCCAGCTTTCATCCACCCACCTTTCCCTTTAATCCCTCCTCTGCCTATGTTATTGGTAAATATTTAAATGCGTTTGCTTTAGGAAGCCGTCGCTGTAAATTTCTGCCGGTTTTTACAGCAAAGATAAGTGGGCGAATCGGAGCTGAGAGGGATTTTGGAATGTAGAGAAATGTCGAGGGAGCCATTCACTTCACTGCTGGGGAAGCTCAGACAGAGAAACATGAAGCGAAGGGGCTTTATTTGTAGAAGAAACTGCCAAAAAAATGGAGACAAATAGGAGAGGGCAGAGTTTAAAGGGAGATGAGATATGGTGGAAGTTTATACACTCTCCTCTTAGTGCACAACGTTTGCACATTTTATATATTGTGTGTGTGTGTGTGTGTGTGTCCGTGCACTACAGGTGAGCAGCAGTATCCTGTTCCTCCTCCTGTCTACGGATGCCACACACCTTCAGACAGCTGTACAGGCAGCCAGGCTCTGCTGCTGAGGAACCCTTACAACAGGTAACACACACACATTTACACACACTCCTTACTAGAGTATGTGCACGTCTATATTTAGAATGAACAGTGACAATTAAAGCTGGAAATTGTTTCAGAAACCATTGTTGATTGTTTGGTATCAAACAGCAGCAATTGAGTGAAAGGTGGCAGGATGCAGTTTTGAACAGAAAGTTCACCTTCAGGACAGGTCTGTCTGCCACAGTGGCTTCCTTTCTGGTTCTCCTTCCTCTGGGTGTTTTTTTCAGCCGTTTCTGTTGTCTTTATGCTAGCTAAGCCATTAAAAGTGTGGATTTCTCCCTCCAGGGGTTTAAAGATCCTTAATTTCGAATGCTGTTTATATGCAGATTAGACACGTACGAAAGTCACGGTGCCACTGAAGGAAGTAAACTAACAGTGGCAGGAAGTTCTGAAGGAAAGTGGGTTGATTTACTGATTGGAAAATATTCAAACGGTATTATACATCAAGTTATTCTGCTTGCAACTGACAAAACTATGCAGGCCAATCATCATTATTTTACTCTTTTCATTCATCACTGGTCTTTTCTTTGACGTGATGTGTATTGATATATCCTCCCAGCACAGATGATGGGCCAGGAAAAATTTGTTATTTTTGGGTTTATTAGGGTTTTCATATCTATAAATAGCAGAATGAGACAAAGATACAACTGGCTTTGCAATCAGTAGCACTGTCTTTATTTTCAGCTTTTAATGAATATGAGTTATAACACTGAAGAGATCTGATCCTCTGTTCTGATCATTTGCAGGGAGACCTACAGTACAGTTAATGGATTCAGATTGATACAGCTCTATTTCTAGTCTTATAAAGAACATTTTCAAAGCTATCAAAGGATTTTCTAATTTTCAGATTCTTAATCAAACAGGGAAAAACAAAGGAAATGAGCCCAAAATAAAATAAAAGCAGTGACAGGAGCAGACTGATGAATGACTGGAATGCTAAATTTCAGAAATATTTCCTCTCATCAAACTGCTGTCTGCTGAGAGAAACCACAGCTATAACTTCCTCTTGTTCAACCTTGTATTGATTCACCAAAGTCCATTGATGGGTCGCTTCTTGTCATTGATGTGATGTGGTGATTTATGTATTTTAGCTGCTTGGCTTGTGTTGTTTGTAACATTTAATTCTAAGTTGTCTTTTTCACAGCAGACATTTTGACGTGTCGCGATAGGGAACGCGCAGATAATAACATTACGATGACTCTGTTCTCTTCAAGCGTCCCAGTAAACCATGGCAATCTGAAACTGAGTCAGCTAAATATAATTCAGCCATCATTTCATTATTTACACCTGTGCTTTTCCCTTCCTACTGTGAGGCGTTGTGAGGGGAAAAAATAAATCATATATTTTTACATACACACACACACACACACACACACACACACACGCACACACAGAAATGCCTAAATTGTTACAGTGTGAGTCCAAATATCTTCATACTCTTGCCCCACCATCTCCTCCCTTCTTCCAGCCACACCCTGCCTTAACCTTTCATCCCTTCCTGTCCTCCCTACTCCTCCCACTCACTAGAACCAACAGTTCCCAAGAAATATTGCACATTTTAAAAAACATATTGACATTTTCCACTATTACTGTAAATGACATTAGTTGAAAAACAAGGACAGATGCTAATCTTACTGCGAAATATTAAGGTGTGGTAACTTCTTATGGCCAAAAAGCTTGTTAATGTACACACCACAATGGCTACAATGCGAACCACTTCACCCAGAGAACCATCTCCACATCTGCCACTACAGTGATCTACCTGCCTTTAATAAACACACCAATAAATCTTGTGATAAGATTTTGATAACTGAACATTTTAATGTGGTACACGTCCTCACTGCACGCTCTCCAAACTGTTTGTTGTTATGTTTCTAAATGAGACATTCCTCACATGCCACCGACTGTTTTCCAGCTATGGAGGAATCTTCTGTAAATACCACAGCAAGGATGGATACTAAAGTTTCACTGTGTGTGTGTGTGTG